AGGCAAGGCCTGGCAGCGGGTGCCCAGGCTGGGCTTGGCAGAGCCTCTCTGCCCCAGGAGGGCTGGGGGCACCGCTCTGCCCTCTGCACTGTGGCCTCTGTGCCCCTGACCTTCCCGCCTCCCCTTACAGCCTCCAGTGACTGCTCGGAGCTCGCTGGCTCTGGCACGGGGAGCCCGTCAGGACCGGGCTCATCCCAGGGCTCCCCAGTGCCGCAGAGCAGCAGCCCCAGCCCCGCCAGCCAGCTGCCAGCGGAGTCCTGCCCCTCTCCAGCGCTCGAGGGCAGCAGCTCCAGCCGCCCTGGGCCCGTGCGGAGGAGGGACAGCTCCCGCCTGGAACGTCGGGCCCAGAATCCTTACAGCCGGCCCGGACACAGACACGGGAGCAGCCGTTCGCCGACCCCGTGTTGCTGGCCCTGATCCCCCTCTACCGGCACAATAAAGTTGTCTGTTGGCCTCTGCCCTGGGAGATTCCCCGCTCATTTGTCGCCTTCCTCCTCCTCGCCCTTTCTCCAGGGGCAGCGTTAGGGTCTGGGCCCAGAGGGTTTCTCCCCCCGGGGCCTGGCAGCCCCTTGCCCAGCCCTCCCTCCTTGCGGGCTGGCCTTGGCCGGCTGCCCAGCGCCATGGCCGTGTGCTTCGGGCCTCGCTGGCCCCGCAGCCGCCTCAGTCTCCCCGGGGAAGGGTCACAGCGGGGGCAAAGCTACTTTTCTTTACAAGCTCCGACCCGTGTCACGGCTGGAGCTGTGACATGGAGATTGCTGTAGGCGGTCTTGCGACAGAAGCCGCTGGGCATTCCCGTTTCCCAGTCCCGGGTCCTGTTGCCCACCTTGATTGCTGCTGTCCCAGACCCATCCAACACACCATCAGCTCAGGCCACACAGAAGCTCCTAGGAAGGAATGTTGTCCCCGGCCTTCACCAGCCCTGGGCAGCCTGTTCGGCCCAAGAGCAAACCTGGGGCTCTGTGCTTGCTCAGCCCCTGTCGTGCTTTGAACTCGCCCGGCAGCCAAACCCCACGCAGGCAATCGCTCACCCTCCCCCTGCCGGGAAATGGGGGACCAATTGGAAGGAGAAACGGAGACTCGTGGCTTGAGATAAAAACAGTTTTGTAATTGTAATAAAACAATAACAGT